GGCTACGTGCCGAAGGACGGCCGTTCGGGGTGGAAGTCGTGAGTGACCCATGGGATGTCTTTGCACCTGGGGCGTTTCACCATCCTCTTCGTTGGTACTTCCGTCGCAAGCTTTCAGCAGACACACAACGTCAGTGCCTAACGGCAACGGCTGCATCGTACGTTACCCAGTCCGCTTTGCAAAAACGCTACCCGGCCTCCGCAGATAGCTTCCAAACGCATTACTCCAGTGTCGAACTTCCTTCAGCTGCCTTCCAGGAAGAGCCTCGCTCGATTGCGTCCGCTGATTCACCACTGAACGTCATCACGGTAGGCGCATTGGCCCAGATGTATAAGGGCGTTGACATCCTGATCGATGCAATCGCCCAAACGAAGCATGACATTCGGTTAACGATTGTCGGTGACGGAAAACATCGATCAGAACTCGAACTGCGGGCCGCGAATCTTGGCTGCGGTGATCGGATTCGTTTTCTCGGATCGCTTCCCAGCGGGCAACCAATTCGCGACCAACTCGACAATGCAGACCTCTTCGTTCTCGCTTCTCGCCAGGAAGGTTTGCCGCGGGCAATGATCGAAGCGATGGCACGCGGCTTACCCTGTTTGGGAACAACGGTCGGCGGCATCCCTGAACTTCTTGATGAAGAGTCACTCTTCGCCGTCGATGATTCCACCACGCTGGCTGACAAGCTGAACGCGTTGTTCGTCAATCGCTCACGGCTTCACAACATGTCGCAGCGAAACCTGCGTGTCGCTCAACAGTATGGTGACGAACTTCTCCAAGCTCGTCGCAACCAGTTTTTCATGGCCGTTCGCCAGGCAACCGAGCATTGGCAACAAAGTCGAACGCCATGTCCAGTAACCCCTCAACAGCCTGACCGCCGTAACGCAGATGCTCCATTGGCATCGCGCGAAGCAGCAAGCATGGCAACAACCACCACCTCCGAGGATTCCCAATCATGCATACCGTCATCTTAGCTGGTGGCCGCGGGCGACGCCTTGCTCCTTACACCATCAACTTCCCGAAGCCGCTCGTTCCTGTCGGTGAAATGCCGATCCTGGAAATCGTTCTGCGTCAACTTCATGGCGCAGGGTGCGATAAAGCCACGCTTGCCGTGGGGCACTTGGCGGAATTGATCATGGCTTACTTTGGAAAGGGCGAGCAAGTTGGTGTCGACTTGACCTATTCCAGCGAAAAGCAGCCGTTGGGAACTGTCGGCCCTCTCGCGTTGATGAATGATCTACCCGAGGACTTCCTCGTAATGAATGGGGATGTACTGACGACACTCGACTATCGAGCGTTGTATGAATATCACCTGCAACATGATGCCGATCTTACGATCGCTTGCCATCGCTGCACGACCAAAATCGATCTCGGCATTGTCGAGTTCGACGAACGACTTCAGGTTACCGGCTATCGTGAAAAGCCGCGACTTCCATACGACGTCTCAATGGGTGTCTACGCATTCAATCGACGCGCCTTGGATGTCGTTCCGATGGGCGAGTATTACGATCTTCCGACGCTCGTTCTCAAGCTGGTCGAACTCGGCCGTAAAGTCAAAGTTTACATGTCCGACGCCATGTGGCTCGACATCGGTCGCGTGGAAGACTATGCCAACGCCAGTTCCGTGTTCGAGGAACATCGCCACTTATTTTTGCCCGACGAAAAAGTCGCATCGTAGTTGGTAACGCCCCCTATCTACCCACACCCCAGGAAAACTCACCATGAAAATTCTCGTTATCGGCGGAGCAGGCTACGTCGGATCGGTTCTCACAACACGTCTTCACGAACAAGGGCACGAACTGACCGTACTCGATTCGCTCGTGTTCGGATCGCAGTCGTTGGACAACCTCAAAGGACAGGAACGGTTTGAACTGATCGAGGGTGATCTTCGCGACCAGGAACTGCTCGATCGCACGATCCCAGGCCACGATGCCGTTTGTCTGTTGGCGGCGATTGTTGGGGAGCCTGCTTGCAACCGGGATGAAGCAACAGCCGAAGAGATCAATTTGCATGGAGCTCTTAAAGTTCTGGAGACTTCCAAGAAGCATGGTGTGACCCGATTTGTTTTTACGAGCACTTGCAGCAACTACGGCATCTCCGATCCGAATGCCCCGGCAACGGAAACCTCGCCGCTGAAACCTCTGTCGGTCTACAGCCGATCGAAAGTTGAAGCCGAGAAGGCAATCCTTGCCTCCGCCGACGAGAACTTTGTTCCAACGGTTTTGCGTCTCAGCACGGCGTTCGGCATTTCGCCGCGCATGCGATTCGACCTGTTGGTCAGCGATTTTACTTTGGCCGCGTATCGTGAACACAAAGTGGTCATCTACGGCGGCCAATTCTGGCGACCTTTTGTTCACACGCAAGACATCGCTCGAGCTATCGAGATGGTTTTGAATGCCTCTCCCGACGTCGTTTCCGGCGAAGTCTTCAATATCGGCGGCGACGGCAACAACGTCCAAAAGCAAGAACTCGGTGAAATGGTCAAGGAAGAAGTTCCCGACACCACCATTGAATACATCACTGCGGGAACTGATCCGCGAAGCTATCGCGTTGAATTCTCCAAGGCGAAATCGCAACTGGGATTCGAGCCGGAATGGAGCGTTCGTGACGGCGTGAAGGAGGTTTATCACTGCCTTCAGGAAGATCGCTGGTCTGATCCCAAAGACGCTCGGCATTTCAACTAATACTGCCCACTTGCCTCGATTCACAACCACATGACTGCC